CGAATGGCCTGCGAGATGTTGACTTGTTGCACCCCCACCAGGGTCCCTTGAATCAGCTGGGGCATCGTGACCAAGTCCTGAACTTTGGGGCATCGTGACCAAGTCCTGAACTTTGAACAGAACCACACGGAGGGTCGGGGATAGTACTTGTAAAAGCATTCCCTTGCGACGATGCGGCAACACCGGAGGCATCTTGTGAATCTGAAACCTGAGGTGCTCCAACCGGCTGATGGGTTCCTGGGGGAACTGTGCCCTGACTTGAGGCTTTAGCCGCGCTTGTTTCCGTAGCTGTTTCGGCTATTGATGCGGCTTTTGGCGGGGACTCTTGAATCGGAACAGGGGTCGCGCGAGCTTGTTGGGTGAGGTGCGCAACAACACGTTCGAGATCACCAAGTCGTTGATGCATCACAGAATTTTCCTGGGACAATCCACGAATGGTATGCTCTTGACTGGCAATGGTTTGTTCTCTTTGCGAGATTGCCTGTTGAGCCTCTTGAACAATGCGTTGAACCTCTTGCTGAGCGTCATGTTGAGTGGCATTAACAACCTGTCGTGCGTTCTCGACATGGCCAATGGCTTCCTGTCGTGTCTGCTCGATTAGTTGCCTAGCCTGAGCCTCACTTTGTTGTGCTGTTTGTACAGCCTGCTGTGCTTGCGAAGCTAGCTGAGCGGCCTGAACCCTAACGTCTGATACTTCTCTTACAGCCCTTTCCCTGATCCATCCGGCCTCTTGTCTCGCCTGGTCGGCGGCCTGCTGTTGGTGCAAGGCGTGATTGGCTGCCTGAGCAGCGAGGTCGGATGCTCGATGAGCTTGCTGCACCGCAGCTCCAGCTATAAATGCCGCAGCGGGTACGTTAGTCATCGGGTCAGGTAATTGCGATCCCTGTGAAGGAAACTGAATGACTGGGGAAGCTTCGGATGATGTAGGTTCTGACACGATCGGAATACTCGGGGGTGATGATGGTCGTGTTTGGGCTGCTCGTTGAGGTGTGGATGTGCGAACTGTGGACATAGCTGCAGGAACCATGGCTAGGTCAGGGTCATCCGGTTCAGAATCCCTATTTGGGGTCGACCTTGAACGGGGTTCTGATGGCGGTGATAAGCCCGTTGAAGCCATGACACAGCGATGCAATATTGCACTCACACGAAGCTAGCTCCACGCGCTTTGAGCAGCGTGTCAAAAGGTGCTACGAGGAGATATCCCTGGATTGGCAGCTGGTTGCGAAACGCTCAAGTGAGCCACTCAAGAAAATACGCCCTGCTGCTTTGCACCTGATGAATTCTGTATTTGTAATTGTACTTGTAGATTGATTGATCCGCACTGCCGCACTATGGTGCTTTATCGAGGGATGTTGCCAAGCTGTATTGAGAATTTGTCTGCAAATCGAATGCCTGTAGCTGCAAAGATGCTGTACCGCGCAAAGCGACGGTTTTAACGGCTTGCAAAGAAAGGCTATCGAAGTACCCGATTGGCGGGGAACTGGGATGCAGACCGATGGAGTTCTTCGAGGTACTGCGATGGATGCAGGCCCCTTGCCGCCGGAATGAAAAGTCGATTCCGGGACTCGATGTACTCCCCAAGGTTCTCAAGTGCGTTGGCAAATCCGCTCGGCCCGAAATGCGGGAAGTTGCGGAACGCTGCGATGCCTGTCTTTTGAGCTTCACGGACAATCGCAGCTGTATCGTCGATGAGGGCGTGGGCACCCAGCCCCTGAAGGGCGTCTGCTTTGCCTCCCCTACCCAACCTTTCGTGTACGATTTTTATCGCAGAGAAAGTGAGTCCAGATGTCGTCCGCGCGTGCTCCAGGGCGACCTGGAACTCGCGGCGGCGATACTCGCTTGCAGCCCTGCCCACGAAGGATAGCACTATAAAATTATAGGTGCGTAGTCGGCTGCAAATTGAACGAGATGCCGGATCACCTCCGGGTTGAGGTGGGGTCCCTGCTGCCCAACGTCAAGAACTCCGTGCCAGTCAAGAGCGATGGTAAGCTCCTTGGGCGGCACAGTCCAGGCGGCGGGGGTGGCGCAGGTGGTGGCCTTCTTGGTGGCGATCGAAAGCGTGTGCCAGCCTCGGAAGTTGCAGCGCTAGCAGCAGCTGCTTTAACGACCTGCGGCGGTGGCGGCTTGACGATGTACCCTTGTGGCGGGTTTGAGCCCGACTTGCTTCTGGGTTCGGCTTTGTTCAAACCTCGCGGAGGCGCCTTGTACCCGAATGCACTCTGAGTCCGAATAGGAGACCTTGCTCGCGGCGGGGATTTCCTCGGAATATCTGCTTTTGCCGGTGCCGAAGAAGCTGCACGAGGAAGTTCCTTGGGCAATGGAGGCTTGCTGCCAAAAATGACCTTTGGTGCGGCCTTTGGTGGCGGCGGTTGAATTGCTCCAATCCTCCGGCTATGCAAAGCAATAGGCTCAGTGTGAGTCGGTGCCTCGTATACGCGCCGAGGCACGTAAGCTGCCCTGCCAGTTCTGATGGATTCCGCGTCTTGCGGAGGTTCCTCTTCCGAGCTGTAGGCGTCGAGGCGGAAGTGCTCCGCTGGCGCTGGGCGTCGATCTGGAGATCGTGATTGCGAGCT